TTGCAGGCTGCATGCACACATGGCCTGGGCAAATCCCACTCCAGTTTAATAGACCCTTCTAGCGGTGCTGGGAGCACAGTGCTCATTTACATTTCATTACTCAGAAAGCGCTGCTGCTTGGTGGTAGCTGAGATAATTTACAGAAGCAAAAAGGTTGAAGACACACTTGAAGGCGCTCAGGAGTTTGCCTCCATGCCTTTTGCAAAACAGGACCTGGTGTTATGCATTTCCTTCTGCAAATATATATCTATCACATTATCCTGCCTGCAACATTACAGATATCTTACCAAGTAAGTATAGGATGGGGCTCCATCCTCCAGGTGGAGACCTTCCAGAATTAGAACTGATTTCTAGACTACAGAGATCAGTTCCCCCAGAAGAAAACAGCTGCTTTGGAGGGTGGACTCTATGGCATTATACCCTGCTGAGGATCCTTCCCTTTACCACATCCTGCCCTTCTCAGACTCCATCCCCCAATCTCCAGGATTTTCCTAGCCTGAAGTTGGCAACCATAGTATAGGATGATCAGTCCGCACAGATGGTAAATTTTTCTCATGCATGACTGGCCAACAGCTGCTTTTACACATTCTTACATGGGCTCTTCACCTCACCCACAAACTATGAGGGGTATATGTAGGGATAGGGGAAAGAGTGCAAATGGTTCCATAGACATTAGTTGTCCTTCCCTTACTTTCAACCAAATCTGAGGAGCAAAGGGAAAGGGAAGCCCAGTCCATAAAGAACCCCTCTTTTGCCAGTTCCTGATCTTATTCACAGATACTCTTTCAGAGCACTTCTAGCCCTGTAATTCCTTATGATGACAAATTCTCATAAGTGTCTCTGTGGCTTTTGGGATTTCTTTAAAACTGGGCAGGTTTTTTTGGAGGGGAGTGAAGATCTCAGAAGGACAGCATGATAAGAAAACTGTAGCATGTGGCCGAAATTCAGAAACCCAAAGACGTGCCATGCACTGTTTTTTCAGATAGCAGAGCAAAAACCAGGTGAATTGAGCCTTCGCCATTTCTGAGAGACAATAAATTCATGATTATTTTCTTTGACATACTGATTTAAGGGTCCATTTTCTGTACAAAAGAGGCACAGTTGTTATTTATTGATGGGATACAGATGTCTTCACTCCAGATGACATTTCTGTTGCCAGAATACTGCATTTTCCTAGCATTCAAATCACAACATAGTGTTGCTAGAAACATGCATTCCACTCATCCAAAGCTACTTTTATTAATGTCAATGCAAATGTTAGGCTGGACCCTATCAATCAATTCTGCATGCACAAGGAGGAAGGATGATTTTTACCAATTCCTGCCTCAAGAGCAATTCTTGAGAAAGCTCTCTCAGCCCCACCTACCTCACAGGGTGTCTGTTGTGGGGAGGGGAGGGGAAGGGAAAGGAGACTGTAAGCCACTTTAACACGCCTTCAGGGAGGGAAGGATGGGATATAAATCTAATCTAATCTCTTCTCTACTTCTACTTGCCAGTTTTGCTCATGACCTGTTTACTACTTCTGATTAAGCAGCTTGTTGACAGACTGATCAGACATCTGCAACCAATTCATGCCATCGGCAGTGGCAAGCTAGTTGCAGCATGGGATCTGAAGTCAACTTCCAGTTGATCCCGCATCATCTGAATGCAAATATATATCTATCACATTATCCTGCCTGCAGTGGAAATTTTGCTTGGTCCCTGTATTTCTGCACACCAGGTAAGCTAGGACAGGGAAACCAGAATTTTATTCATAGATGACTGCAAGGATCAGCTGAGAGTTGGCTTCTGATCTCCCAGACCTGGAAACTTTCCCACAAGTCTGATGCTGGGACACATTTTTTTTGGGGGGGAGGGATAAGAAGCTGACTCCTAGCTGATCAGGGGATCAGCTAAGAGGCTTCTGATCTCCAGCTTTGCTATGTCTCAACCTTGCCAGGACACAGTGATTTTTTTTGAGGAGGGGATCAAAAGCCCATTCCTACAAGTCAGCTTCTGATTCATGCTACCAAAAAACCCTTGGATGTGCCCCAGCAATTCTGGCAAGTAGCAACAATTCCAGGACTAGGTGATCAGAAGCCAACTCTCAGCTAACTGGGAGCTCGGCTAGTAGTCGGCTTCTGATCCCCACCATGAAAAACCACTGTCTCCTAGCAAGGCTGGGAACCAGCAAAATTTGCCAGAGAGGAAGTCAGAAATCAACTCACAGCTGATCTTTGTTCAACTGAGAGCTGGCTTCTAAACAGTCTTGTTCTGCAGCTGTTCACATTATTTGGGCTGAGCTGAGTAAATCTGTGTTCTCTGCACAGGTTCTCTGCAAAATCTGTGGAATCCCTAACAAGACGATTGTCCCCTCTATAACATGTAGGTCTGACATTACACTAAAGAAGAATACTGATCTATCTGTAAAATGGCTGGGAATATGAACTGTTTGGCTATCTGGGTATGCCCTGAGACTTCATGCAGTTTGATTTACATTCTTGTTTTCATGTAAAATGTGTTTAGACATTAGAAATCTAAACAGGTATTGGTCTAGTGAATGCTTGGACAGGAGATTTCCTTGGACACTCATGTAAGCTATTCTCAACCTCACAAAGGAAGAAAAAGGTATGTATAATAATTTTTACGCAAGACCATGTCTATGGCCATCAACTCTAATGTGAAAGTTCATTACTGTTCCCTGTGGTATATAACTTAGTACTCAGTGTGATTCCTTTATCTTTCACTTACCAAGGCCTTCGTCGGACATCATATAGGTCAATCTTATCAGGTACCCTCCAGGGGGTAGCTGCAATGAGAGAAAGGAAAGACAAGAAGCTGTTGCTTGCTAGGGCAGCAGATGTTGGTACAAGGAGGGACAATCAGAGGGGGCTAAGGCACCAAAGACTTCATAGAAAGGTTCACTGGCCACAAGTAATAGAGAGGACATGCGGAAGGGCTGTGGCTCAGTCACAGAGCATCTGCTTTTCATGCAGAAGGTCCCAGGTTCAATCCACAACATCTCCAGTAAAAGGATCATGTAGCACGTATTGTGAAAGCTCTCCACCAGAGACCCCGGAGAACCACTTTCAGTCAAAGTAGACAAAGCTAACCTTGATAGATTAATGGTCGGATTCTGTTAAGGCAGCTTCATGTGCTCAGATGTAAGAATGTTGCTTACAAAGAAAGTGTTATCAGACAATAAGAATGTCATAGATCAGCACAGACAGATTGGGAGGGATGCTCATTAGAGAAAAGCAGGTGTTGCTGTTTCCAGCCCCATGTGATGGACTGCTCTAGGAGCACCTATATTTCTGGCCAGCTTTTTGGCCCTATGCTTTGAGTGACTTTCATTATAAAGAGTTAAAAGGACCTATACTGTAGTTATGTAGATCACTGACATATATTTAAATTTGCACATTTAATTTTGCTTTGTTTCTAGATTTTGAAAATTATTGTTTTTCTTTTCATCAATTCTTGTGAATTAAAAAATCAGGGTATAAATTATCAACAATCAAATAAATTCCTTAGCTCCTGCCTACAAAGCCATGCTACTTTGTCTTGCATTGCTAACATTGGCATAAAACAAAATAAAACTGTGCCAAATTTTAGAAGGGCTTTCACAATCTTGAATGCATTCTCCCTGCAATGAGTTCATAGAGACATTTTTTAAAAAATGTATATTCGTACTGCCTCTTTGTTCCCAGAAGCTTAGATTAGCATGCTTAGGTTACAATGACCTGTCCACATTCAGTATGGTATAATGGATATCATTTTTGACATGAGTTGACATGATTATACTCTTCTAAACTAGCTCCCCATGCTGCTATTAGTGCTTTAAAGAAGAAAGCCATATTCTTTAAAAACATGTATTTTGTCCTTTAAAACGTTAGTACCAGAATGGGGGAACCAGTTTTCAAGAACAAAACCAAGTTGAGGTTCAAGGGTTAAACCCCCTCTCCCTTCACTTCATGCTCCCAAAGCACATTGAGACTGCATGACTTTAGTGAGGGAAAGAAACCTGTGATCTTTGTCTTGCCTGCTTGAACCCTCAGCCATGAGCTCAGTAGGAAGCCTTAGAGAAGCCCCTCTGGGCAAACTGGATGTCACATCCAGAGGCATGTAACATTACTCTGATGCCTGTTCAGAGAGGAAAACCTTTTCCAGTGGCATGATCAGGATCAGAGAAACACTAGGCAGAGGGGTGCTCACCTCTTCCCCAACTTGCTTTTCCCCCAAATGAAAGTGCATCCCCAGCAGCTTTCTCAGAGTCTTGAGAGCCACTTGGGGGAGATTTGAAGCAGCAAAATAGCAGGTGGAATTAACTATAAAACTCACCCAAAGTAAATCTTCCTGTTAAAGAGGCCAGAAGAATAATGTAATATGCATCTGTATGCCACATCTAGCTTGGTCTGCTGTTTCAGTCACCATTCCCCCACCTGTAAAATGGGCCTATTGATAACCTACCTTGCAACATTGTTGTGAAGATAAATGAGATAAGGATTGTAAGGAATGAAGCACATTAAAAATGTTAGGAAGATGGTTGAGAAGTGAGGAGCAGCTGGGAAAGTAGGACAACTGAGGGCAGCCATGACACTGAGAAGGAGCCAGAAGAGGGTGAAGACAAGTGGAGAGACAGAGAAAAGAAGAAGAAGAAGACAGCAATGAGACAAGTATAGAAAGAAAATATGGATGTTCCACAGACTCCTGCTGAGAAGCACACAGTACACAGCACAAAGTATTCTATCCTTATTTGGTTTTTATATCATCATGCTAGATTCTAGAATCACCAATATGGTCTATTGGTTTGTAGGGGGAAGGAGAGCCAATTATCTGCTTTCTCCACCATTCATGATCATGTCAAAACGTCACATCTAGCCCATACGGTGAAATCCTAGACAGAAAAGAAAGGAGAGCATGCAAAGAGATCACTATCCTCTGTCATAAGCACTTCCTGGGCCATATACTGTTAATGAAACTAATCACGACAGGACCAATCTTCAAGGGCAATGGCCCAAGGCAATCTACTATTGGAAACACAGTCCACTCCATTAACTTTACTGTGCGTTATAAGGAGCTATGGTACTAACTCTGATCACCCCAGGCATGTCTTTCTCCTTAAATATTGACTGTGTGATTACAGCACTGTTGCTGAAACCCCATAATTGTACGGTTCCCTCCTTCCATTTTAAGAATGTCACACACCTGGATAGAAGCGAGTCACACCTGTGGCACTGCCAAAGACCTGCCACAGCAGAGATGGGTCTTCTTTTCGGTTTTCTACAAATACATCCTCCAGGGCTTCTGTCCAGTTTAGCTCATTAAGGATTACAGTAGCTGTAAGAGACCAAAAAGGAACTAGATTAACTTGAATGGACCTTAGAAGGCAAAAGATGGATGATTTCATTCTCAGGCAATTAAAAATAACTCAGGAAGTTGTCATCAAAATACGTGGTCATAGTGAGACTGAACTTTTTCAACAGACTCATTGACAGCACTGATACCTTCTGAAGAACCATTATTGCCCATGTTCAGCATCCCTTGCTGGGTTGATTGTCACAGGTTCCTTCATTCACTGTGCTCATATGCTCATATTCTCTCTTAAACACTTATTCATGCCTTTTGGAAGCTTTCCTGATCTCTGTGTAGCCAAACAATCAAATATGATATGCAAAACTATCACTCTGCACCATGGAGGGCATTTTCTCATATGAAATACACTCACATCCAGGCTTCACAATGGTCATCGTACTGTGGTGTCAGCTAGCTGCCATAGGAGGCTGGGAGGCAGTTGGTTCCCCCCCCCCACTCTCCCCTGGCATCTGCGCATGCCCTATCTTCCCTGTGTATGATCTTGTCTCATGCATTCCTGTCTGTAAACGCTAGGCAACGCTTATCTGCAAGGTTAACAGGTGTGTGTGGGAGCTGCTTTGCCAAATGTATAATGAACTGTACCGTGTGAAGCTGTAATTGTTTAGGGTTTTAGGAACGTTGCTTCTCAGGCTTTTGAGCGCGTAACCTGAAGTCTGCCTGCTCGGCGGGAATGGAGGTTATTGGTTATTACCCTGTTTGAATGTCTTACATTATTCCTTGCCCATCCTGGCCCAGGCATTCTGGACAGTGAACTTGTTCCTGCTCTATCATAGCTTTAATAAAATACTACTTTGCCTAAACGTGTATTGGATTAATAGCTGTGGGGGACCAGACATGTGGGAAGAGTACGTACTTTGCGTGCAGAAGTTTCTAAGTTTAATAACCCCTGGCATCTCCAACTAGAGGATCTCTGGTAGTAGCAACTGGAAAGATTTTCTTCCAGGACCTTGCAAAACCGCTGCCAGTTTGAATAGACAATACTGGACAAGATGGGTCCAAGGAGCCCAGGTGCAGTGGTAGAGCATCTGCTTGGCAAGCAGAAGGTACCAGGTTCAACCCTGGCATGTTAAAATGATCATGTGGTAAACAATACAAGAGACCTCTGCCTGAGACCATGGCAAGCCACTGCTGTCATCTGATTCATCAGATACAATATGTAGCATGGCAATTAAAAACTTCCCTCTAGATTTTTAATTTACATTTTCCCCACTCTGATATCAAGTTAAAACTCATAAAAACAAGAGGCAATGCCCCCCAAACAAACAGCAGAAGAGAATCAGGATAAAAATGAGATATAACCCAATAAAACAGAAGAGTCATCAGTCAAGTTTCTAGATACCCTCAATGATTGTGCCATGGAACAGATGGTCACAGTAACCAACCGAGAGGAGGCAATCTTGGACTTGGTCCTAAGTAATGCTCAATTCCTGGTGAGATATGTAAACGTAATAGCACCAGTTGGGAACAGTGATAATACTATTAAGTTTAGCATTTATGTAAATAGGGATTTGACCAAAAAGTCCAACACAACCACATTTAACTTTAGAAGGGGTAACTTCTGTCAAATCAGTTGGCTTGTGTAGAAGAAACTGAAAGGAAAGGTAAGGTGGGTCAAATCCCTTTGGGAAGCTTGGAAACTATTTAAAACTACAATACTGGAAGCTCAGAATGTATACCACAGGTTAGGAAAGGTACTAATAGGTATAAAAAAGGCCTGCATGGTTAATGAACAAAGTAATGGAAGCAGTAAAAGGTAAGAAGGATTCCTTTAAGTGGTGGAAGGCTGGTCCAAGTGAGGTTAAAAAAAGGGAGCATAGACTTTGGCAAAGAAAATGCAAGTCAGTGATCTGACAGGGAAAAAGGGACTATGATGAACATACTGCAAAAAACATGAAGGCCAACAATAAAAATTTCTTCAAGGGGTGAAAGGATTACTAAAGGATGATAGGAAAATGGCATAGACACTGAATACATTTCCCCCCTCTGTCTTCACTGTGGAAGATAGGAGGTGCTTGCCGACTCCAGAGCAACCGACTTCAATGCGGTGTCGAAAGACCTGAGTCAGATTGAGGTGATGAGAGAGAAGGTTCTACAACTGATGGACTAATTAAAAACTGACAAATCACCAGGCCAAGATGGCATACATCCAAGAGTTCTGAAAGAACTCAAATGTGAACTTATGGATCTCCTGACAAAAATATGCAATCTGTCACTAAAATCTGTCTGGAAGGTAGCTATTGTAACCCCCATCTTTTAAAAAGGTTCCAGAGGAGATCTGGGAAATTACAAGCCCGTCAGTTTAATGTCAATAGTGGGTAAGTTGGTGGAATCCATTAGTTAGTAGGCACGTTGATAAACAAAACCTATCGAGGAAGAATCAGTATGGATTCTGTAAGGGAAGATCTTGTCTCACTAACCTTTTAGAGGGGGTGAACAAACATGTGGACAAAGGTGACCCAGTAGATGTTGTTTACCTAGACTTCCAGAAAGCTTTTGATAATGTTCCTCATCAAAGACTCCAAAGTAAACTCAGCAGTCATGGGATAAGAGGACAAGTCCTCTTGTGGATTAAAAACTGATTAATTAACAGGAAACAGAGAGTGCGTATAAACAGGCAATTTTCACAGTGGAAGGTGGTATACAGTGGGGTACCACAGGGCTTGGTACTAGGTCCGGTGCTTTTTAACTTGTTCATTAATGATTTGGAGCTGGGAATATGCAGTGAAGTGGCTAAATTTGCATATGACACTAAGTTGTTCAGGGTGGTGAGAACCAGGGAGGACTGTGAGACGCTCCAGAGGGATATGTTGAGGCTGGGCGAGTGGGCGTCCACATGGTGCATTGGAGTCAAAAATCCTAACTATAAATATATGTTGATGGGGTTTGAACTGGCGGTAACTGACCAGGAGAGAGATCTTGGAGTTATGGTAGATAATTTACTGCAGTTGTTGACTCAGTGTGTGACTGCAATAAAAAAGGCAAATGCTGTGCTGGGATTTATTAGTAAGGGGATTGAAAACAAATCAGCCAATATCATAATTCCCCTGTATAAATCTATGGTGCAGCCTCATTTGGAATACTGTGTACAGTTCTTGTCACTGTACCTCAAAAAAGACATTAGAACATTGGGAGAGGTACAGAAAAGAGCAACTAAAATGATTAAGGGGATGGAACATCTTCTCTGTGAAGAAAGGTTAAAGAGGTTAGGGCTCTTTAGCTTTGAGAAATGATGATTGAGGGGTGACATGATAGAGGTTTACACAATTATGCTTGGGATAGAGAAGGCAGAGAAAGACATACTTTTCTCCCTTTCCCACAATACAAGAACTTGTGGGCACTCAATTAGATTAATGAACAGTAGGCTTAGAACAGATTTTAAAAAAGTACTTCTTCACCCAAAGAGTATCTCCCAGTAGAAACTGAAGGTGGGGGGCATTTTTGCAAGCCCAGCAGAACTAGTGCAATATGCCAAACAGTACCTGTGCCACTGTGGCACTACAAACCCAATGGGACTAAGCTCAAGCCAGGAAAGTGCTTTTGGGGGAAATGTCAGGCACAGGTTCAAAAGTGTATAGAATGCACCCCCTACAAGCTACACACACCAAACACACAGGGAATCTCACCCTGCCACATGTTCCTCTACATTCTCTCCAGGTTAGGGGAAGATTACATTTCTGGGGTTATGGACCCCCAGGAAAGGTCTCCCCAGTGCTCTCTCTGGAAAAGAGAGCGGCAGTTACAGGAGTCTATGGAACCAATCAGGAACAAGCCAGTGACATCAAACTCACAGGAAAACTTCACCTGGGCAGACCTGCCCCAGCCAGACACTGGAAGCACAACACGCACAACATGCCGAAAATAATCTTTTCCAGACATCTTCACTTTCATCAAGGCACGCAATATGAACCATTTCCAGCTATAGATAGTTGGGCACCCCCTAAATATCACTAATGTTGTGCATTAAGTCCAGTACATTATTGCATGTAACCTCCTGGGCCATGCCCTGACAGGTCCTCTGGTTGCCAGCAGTGGGCAGTGAGGGTGAGGTAGCCATGCTGTTGGCTGCTCCAGAGGTCTGCTGTGAAGTGTACAGTTTTGCCTTGCACTCTGGAGAACTCACTCTTGACCATCACCACTGTGGAGTGGTGCATGGTAGGCAACACTCATCAGCTCATGGTCCTCCATGAGGGGATGGGGTACCAGGGAGCCAGGTGTTGCAGCAGCCAGTGAAAGGCTACATCCTCCATGAGGGAGAAGGGCTGGCCATCCACAGTAATCATCTTGTCGATGAGGTGAGTGACTGCTTCCTGGGCCCTCGACATAGCCCTTCTGGATGGCACTGTCAGTGTCCCTATGGGAATGACCTCTTGGAGGGTGGCCTGCCTTGATGTCCCACCCACAGCACCCTGAATGTGGGCAGCCTTTCTTGGAGGGGCCTCCTGCTACTCCTCCATTTCTCCCTGCTGAGAGGGTGTGGACCTCTTCTTCCTCCCACTAGCCATCTCTCTTTCCTCCAGTGACAAAATACTGGAGTGCACCCTTTGCAGGTGCCTGTGGAACATGTAGGAGGACAAGTGTTTGGGGTTTGTGCCCCTACAGACATGGGTGTGGCACACCTGGCACTCTGTCACCCAAGGGTCACTGGGGAGGGTGCAGAAATGTTTCCAAAGTGTGGGCTGGAAGGTGGAAGGAGGGACAGTTGCTTTCTGGCACTGGACTGGGAGGGGCCATGGAGGGTGTACTGAGGAGCAGCAACAGGGAGTTGTGTGGAAGGGGAGAATGCTTCCCCCCCTCTGAATCACTGCTATCAGAAACTTCTCCAAAGAGTGTTATCAACTGCTGCTCTTTGGGCAGTGTGAACAAGTCTTTGTCCTCTGTGGAGAGCACCAGGAAGCGATCAGGGGAAGAAGGCTCTGAGACTTCTGGTGATGCCCTGCTAGAGGTGGGCTCCAGTGGGCTGGCAG